GGACGTACTCTCTCTCTCTCTCTCTCTCTCTCTCTATGGTCGAGCTTCGTTTATGTTCCTCTATTCCTGTTTCCACGGCACCCTCATAAAATCATCTTTTAATTCTTGTTTTTGTTAATGTATGTTTTCTTCTTTTGATTTTTCACGATTGTTAAATGGTTGTTAGTTTTTTGTTGTTGATGTTCCTTGATTGATATCAATTGTGTTCTATAGTCACTAATATTAGCCTCAGAAATTGATGTTAAATAAACTTTGATCTTAATTCTCTATTTCTCTGTTCATTGCCATGTTGGCAGAAAGCAATGAATTTGACGCATATGGATTTTGATAAATGTATAGAAGGCCATTTTTTTTTCGTTTCGTGCAATTGTATTGGTTTCGGTGCTTCTGAACATATTGTCTCCAGAATGTTTCTTACTTATTTAGATAATTGATTAATTGCACTACTTTCCGTCTTAAATGAGATAATGTTTTGACTGTACGTATCTGAACCTGCAGGTTGTAGACGAAGTAAAGCAGCATGGTGCAATTTAAAAATAGATATATGGTGATGGAAATTTTTATTGATGGAGAAAAAGAATTGGTTGGTGGTGACCCAAAAAAGATTCTTAGCTCAAACAATGTCTCCAGAGCAATTAAGGATAGCATTCAGTTGAATTTTGGGGAGTGTGGTCTTGCCCTATCACTTGGATCATTTCAAGGTAACTATTGGATCTGCTATCTACTCCAGCAGATAGAATCATATCACATATTATAGAAATGAAGATTCTTTTTCAATGTTGATTGTTGTTAGTTGCTTTCATCCCGTTCTCTAAAGCTGTCCTTGAATCCTAACGCATCTGCCAAATTTTATAGTGAAATATCTCAATGCCTTGACAAAGATATGCATCATCCGAACATCTCATGTGGATCACCGAAAAGTTTGGTCTGCTATAACAATGATAAGGAGCATTGGGAATTGCCCAGCTATGTTTAATTTACTTGACTTGAGTGGTGAGTGATGTTTTCCTAAACAGAATCTACAGCTTTTAGTTCAAATTTATTTCTTTAACTAAGTACATTTTGCTTCTTTCCCTTTTTTATTGGCACATATAGTAGCCTTTAGTTTCTTTTTCCAAATTTCTGACTGAAAAAAATGAAAAGTGCTTATTTATTAATTAAAGTTTACATGTGTCTTTAACTGAAAGGTTTTGTTTTGGACTTTCCTTGATTTTTTTTACCATAAATTTAGGAGGCTATTTAGGAAGAAGCATAATACTTTTTAAGCTTACTGTCATCTATTCTGTGTAACTCATGTTGATTGAATTATATGTAGAACTTCTTAGTTGTGTATGCCCATAATATACCTGTAAAGATCAGAGGATTTTGTTTAATTAGACTGGTTGTACAGTCAACCAAAGGCTGTATGCTAAAGGATATTTTTTATAATACACGCTTTTATCGTTTCAAGAAGCTGTAGATTACCTAAACTTAGATATGTGGAACGATCACTGTACTTTTTTGCAACGTGATATGTCAGCTGTGTTCTGTAATTTGTAACAAGTGACCATTCCATTTCTAAGAAAACATAATGACATTGTATTTGTTAACTTAATTACTTGGATTGGCCAATTGGTCTTTTGAAGTTTCCTTTTAGCTGGTCGTTACTGTATTTTTTTTTCCACTCTTATTTTTATTTATTTATTTAAAGTTGAAGACCAATTACTAAGAAACATGTTGTTTTACGCATATACCAGATGTAATAATTTTGTGCAATTCTGTAATAGGTTTAGAGTCTTCAAAATATTTTTAGTTAGTTGCTTTTCTTGTTAGGAAGCATCAGAACCTGTAAAACAGCAGCCTTGAAGTGTGAGGAAATGAAGTTTGAACAATACATAGTGGCTGCTGGAGATCACTGTCCACAGGATATCACTGATATTATGAAGGAAAGCATAGACAAAATCAATGCCTTGGAGAGCTAACAAAAGGTCAGCTGCAGATCCTTCCTATCTAGTTCTCCCTTCACTGTGTTCGATAGTCAAGGCAATATATTCAGATATAACTGAGCCCTTCCCATCTGTCAAATTTTCTTCCCTTTTTCTTCTGATTTTTGTGTAGCATACTTGGGTCTATATTATTTTCTTTCATAATTCTCCATCCGAGGAACTACAAAATGGAGTTAGAAATTATCACTGTGTAGCTTTAACTGGCTCATCAAGACCTATCTTTAGCCATTTATGCTGAAATTGATAGCAAAATGATAGTAAGTATTTATGCAATTTTCAGCAGTTGCTTGAGGTTTCTTGAAACATCATCAGTAGCAGGTCTTTTATGTAGCATTGACTTCATAAAACGCATCAATCGGCATATCTCATCATTCAATGAAAAATTGATGTCTATGCTTGTAATCATCATGCTATAGGGAGCACAATTAGTGGACACATGTCATAATTACATCTCTTTTGGACCAATTACCAGTAGCTGTATCATCGATACAAGGGGCTGTGCCGAAGGCCTAGTTGAGAAGGAACTTTCTTGTCCTCGTGGGTCAAGTCAGTTAAGTCCAACTTGAGTTGGACTCTTGTTGTTTCATTATAACTACAGCCTCGGTGTCGGGCTGCAGCACGATTAAGGCACATATCTTAATGGCACTAATCGTCCGATTGTACGCATTCCAAAGCATGAATGAACTTCAAATCTGACGGCATGCTTATATGATTTATATTGATCAAACTAGATGTGATGTTTTATTAACAAACAAATGTCTAAAGGGGAAAAAAAACATATTTATTATATCATGCGTTCCATCATTACATGCATCTTACAGTATTCTATTGAACTGAGAATGTTTGATACTGGCTTTTCACAAAGGAAGTCTATGTACAAAGGAATCATCCTTTTTTCCTTAAGTAAGCCAATAGACCTGTCAAGGGTGCATTGACGTACGTGGCGGGTTTGGATTGGTTCGACCAAGGTCTGTAGTCCAAAAAATCGGATCCACCATTTGGCCCACCGACGAGGGCTCCGTCAAGCAAGTTGGGGTTGTAAGCGATGGTGACGTAGTACAGCGTCCCGTCCTTGCAAAGATGTGCTGTGGGTGTTGGTCCATAGAGAGAAGAGAGGCACCTCTGTGGTGGATTCTCTGAGGTAACTTTTTGCCGCAGCCCACTATGTCCGACATTTTGAGTGGGTTATTTCCGAGGATGTAGTCCAACTATAGCACCAAATAAATTACTCCAATTTAGACCAAAATAGCTATCGATCTAAGAAAAAGATTTCCTTTCTTGATGTCTATGCTAACCAAGCATGAGTTTTTGGTTTTGACCAATGCTTCTTTGCGATAGGAGAATAAGGTGTATAGTAGCTTATAAGAAAAGTTACAAAGGTTCCAAAAAATATAAAGATTGAAGGACGATTTTCCTTACAAATCCCTCTTTGTGAGCTTTTCTCGTAAGATACCTCCCATTTTTTATTTTTAGTTTTGATTTTTTTCTCTAATATCTTAAATGCCCTTCGTGATCGCCTCTATCTTGTCGTGAGGCTCTATCACCTCCATATGGCCATCTTTGTCCTGCTTTCTCTTCTCTTTTTTTATCTTCAGACTCCGTCTATTCTTCAAGTTTCTTCTCTTTATGCTTGGTCATATAGAGACGATGAGATCTCATGAAGAGGTGAAAGTGGTAGGGGCTCACGAAAGAGAAATAGGCCCTTACAATGGGATGAAAGTGATCACGTAGAGGCGATGTGGCCTTACGATAGAGGTGACGGGTGGTGAGAGAGATATTAAGGGTATTAGAGGGAAAAAAGACACCAAATGGAAAATCTAAAAACCTGGGGTATCTTCCGGGGAAAGCTCAAGAAGAGTTTGTTTTTAAGGGAATCACTCAAGACTAAATAACACAATTCAAAAAGCTTAGGCCAATGAGGTCTTGGTAAAACTCATTATATATTATGGATTCTTATAATCCACATTAAGATTTTCATAAAAAATAGATACTCAAGTTAGATTTATATGATTACAATATTCTGAATGGTTAATTGGACGTAGAAAATTAGTAGAGTGAAATATATAGATATACCATGTGTTGTCGATCTTAGATGACACCAAATGAATTTTTGTAGTACTTGTGTTTAATCAACACACTTATATTATATTAAGATATTTGTTGATTAAATTTGGGATTGATATAGCAATACGACACATTTGAATCTTTCCAACAAGATCTTAGTAAAAAAATATATACTCAAATTAGATTTGAATGGATATATAATTCATATGGTTCAATGAGTTCAGTGAAATATGTAGATAGACTATTTGTTGTATTTGTTAGATGACACTTGATGAGTATTTTTTATCTGACAATGAGGTATCATCAATCATCTAGTATTCCGTAAGTGAATCAATCAGTGAACTCATTCTTCAATGAGCACTTGCATTGTATCGCTAGTGTCCCTACATAAGCAACTATGAGATCAGTCGTTTCCATCATATGAACGAGTATACAACACACTAATCTATCTAATTATCTCGATGTCTCTTTCGAGTAACTTATGATCGGGATTATTTATAGTTTGTGTTTAAAGATGAATCAGCCTTATTATCATAATCTCATCATGATTCGATTTTCATTTCATAGATCCATGAACATTATAATATATGCAATATGCAAGATAAAATAATAAAATATCAATAAATAATAATAAGTAAAAAGAGTGTTTGTCGTGTCACACGTGTCATGACTCACGTGATTGTTTAGCAGGACACCTATGACGAGCACCAACTTCAATCCAAGTTGCTTTGCATCTCGATCTGTTTGAAGTTATGTGTGGCTCTTGTGTCCATCAATGCATGAGTTGCCTTCCCGTTCACTTTGATGTCCATGAACACCAGTATGTTGTTATGTGCCTTCGCCTCTTTCGACGTTGCCTTGGACTGCTTCCCCACTTGACCTCACAATGCATTCGACAATTGCATCACTCTAATGTGAGATCCTTATAGTGAACCTTCTCAGAAGCTTTCCACCACACAAAAAATATTTGTTTTACGATGGTCCCTCTGGATCCATGTGCAGTCGGAGCACCTTTATTCTTCAAATCCTTCCTATTTATAAGCTATCAAAGATCCCTTCTCCGATGAGTGTTTTTTCTCTATCATCTTTGCAGACAAATCTGCGAATCATTTAGCCTTAGTGATTGCATGTGCTAGCTCACGAACATTTTAACAATACAACTCCAGTTGAGCCTATGGTTTCATACCATTGAGGAAGCAAAAAAAATTGTCTTTCTTGGACATACCTTGGATGTCTAGTATCAATATACAAAATTATTTCACATGTTCTCATAGAGTCAAGATTTGGTGAAATTGTCGCAAGTTTCGCCATGCAAGGAACATTGCATTCTCTAACATGAATTGAGTTTATAATTCCCTCTTCAAGGCTTCCCAATATTTCTTCCCACCATGTGCACCACCATAGTTTTGCATGACGGATGAGATACATCATTACTAACGACACCTTGGAAGTTTTTGATTTGGGTTGGGTCTCTTTGAAGTATTATTCCAATTCGAAGAGAGTTTTCTAACTCCTTGTTATCTCGAGCACCCTTGTAGCTTTGCAGTTCAGGAGCCGTTAATCTCGATGAGAGATGGTTGCGAGAAACTCCACTCGCATGCGTAACTCGCATGAGTACCAACACTTGAGCTGTGAAGTCCCTTATTTGCCCTTGTATGTATTGCATAGACTCTCTTATGTCGTTTGTCAACCTTTCGACTCTGATCTCCAACTGATCTAATCAAGGTTCCAATCCTGTTTGCATGGATTCTATCATCTCAAGAAGCTCCCTACTTTTGTAGAGATCCAACAACTTCAATTGACAAGGTTGAGCCACAGCTCCAACCCGACCACTCTTTCTTAAGTGCCTCTATGTAGTTCACGTTGCCAACTTTTGCCACTTCTGAATGAGAGAACTTTTGCACCATGGAAACACCGTTGCAAATGTCATGCACCTCCTGAACGTCTTTGCTAGTTTTTTGTGCAGAGTAGTTGTTTATTTCTCTAGAATGACCACACGTTATTGTTGCCCATACTATACAGTAATGCTAGTTTTGCCACACTATTGTGACATGATAATTCAATGTTTACTTTACCCGCTTTGATACCATTTTATCACATTCTTAGCTAGGATTGGTTAATATGTGTAGCACCCAAACAATAAATGTTCGCAAGGGTTAATCTAGACCTTAATCTCGTGCAAGGTTATCAAATCTTGACTCAATTATATTTAGGCATGCTTAGATTAGATTTATATCAATCAAGCGAGGATGTTTTATCAACAAACAGATGTATAAAGGGGAAAAAGCATCATTATTATGTCATGCATTCGATCTTTACATGCATCTTATAATATTCTCTTTAACTTGGAACGTATGATAGTGGCTTTCCACAAAGGAAGTTATGTACAAAGGAATCATCTATGTCTGCTGAAGTAAGCCAATAGACCCACGAAGGGCGCGTTGACGTACGTGGCAGGTTCGGATTGGTTCGACCATGGTCTGTAGTCCAAATAGTTATCTGTTCCATCATTTGGTCCACCGGCGATGGCTCCGACAAGCAAGTTGGGGTTGGGGGCGTTGGTGACGTAGTACGGTGTCCCGTCCTTGCAATAGAGGTGCTGTGGGTGTTGGTCAACAGAGGGAACAGAGGCAGCTCTGTGGTGGATTCTCTGAGGAAACTTGTTGCCGTAGCCCACCATGTACGACATATTTAGTGGGTTATCTCCGAGGATGTAGTCCACCTGCAATGACAAATACATTAGCCCACTAATTTAGATCGATAGTTAACAGCTATAGATCTAAGAAAAAGGTTGCCTTTTGGTGATGCCAACGCTGACCATGCATATGAGTGCTTGGTTTTGACCAATGCTTCTTTTGCGATCGGAGAACGAGGTATATATCAGTTTATAAGTGATAGTTTTCAGAACTAAGGACTAAGGATAGTTTTCAATACTAAGAACTAAGGATAGTTTTCAGAACAAAGCTCAAAAAGAGAGCTCTTTTAGAAAAATCGTCCAATATTCAACATCAACACAATTCAAAAAGACTTGGCGTTGAGGTTTTGGCAAAACTCATGATTCTTATAATCCATATCATGATTTTCATAAAAAAATAGATACTCAAATTAGATTTAAATGGATACAATATTCTGAATGATTAATTGGACACATGAAATTAGTAGTGTGAAATATATAGATATACCATGTGTTGTCCCTCTTAGATGACACCAATGAATTAGTACTTTTGTTTGATCAACACACTTATATTATATTAAGATATTTGGTAATCAAATCTGGGATTGATATAGCAATGCCACACGCTTGAATCTTTCCAATTTGAATGGATATATAATCCAGAAGGTTAAATGAGTTCAGTTGAAATATATAGATAGACTATCTGTTGTCGTCGTTAGATGACACTTGATGAGTTTTTTCTAATTTCATTATGATATTTGTTGATCAAATTTGGGATTGATATTGATAGCCGGATTGAAGAACAACACAATCTGTATTGATATTTAGCATGCATTGCCTGTAGAGAACAAAGAACAAAGAACAGAGATACGCGTATACCTGTCTTTTGGCGAGATCTATAAGCGCTGAGGGGGGAAATTGGGAGTTACCACACGTAACAGTTCCTTTGACATTTCTGAGATGCCGACCATAAACGAGGAGAAGAAATGAGACAGCTGTGACGGCCTGCGTGTTGGCCATCGACGCCCTGTGTATGAGACCGCCTGCACACTTGCTTGGGTTATTACTTCTGCTCTAAACAGGGATTTTGCACTACTAATACATATGCATTTTCTTCATCAATTAGACGTCTCCTGTACTAATATTAGATTGTTTGATTTCTTTAATTATTAACTATAATGTGTTTATATATATATAATCTTCTCGAGAAGTGCATCTTTATGCTGTTGAATTAAATGGAATCATGAAGATTTGGTTTGGGGGAGAGATGCAGACCTGGAGTATATTCGGTGGACTTGTAGGGAGACTGTGGCAGCAGTGAACATGCAAAGTTCTGGGCGTATTTACTGTAGTCATCATCAGTCTGCAACAACAGATTTAATTATTGGTAGTGTCCCAAAAAATATATAAAATAATTATTCTCTCGGAGTTGTCTATCAAATAACCCCTAATTTAACCCAATACTCACAAAACCCTTTCTCTTATTATGAAATAGTCATAATTACCAGTTGAGTGTTTGTCATTCTCAATCACTACACGCATGCAATTATCTCAAATCGAGTAAAACAATCGTCGAAAGCTTTCTAAATTTTTACTGATCCTATTGCTTCTCAACTTCCATGATCATGCATTATATTCTGTGTGTTCCTAATAATTGCTTGGATTCCTAAATGCCAAACCTTCTGCATCAGTAGGAGGAGGATGTAGTTTCCCGCATCCTTATTGTCCCATGAGAACTGCGAGTCGTAGCCATTAACACGAGGCTTCGCCTGCGTCTGGATCTTGCGAATGCCATGGATGATATGCTTCGTGTAATCTGAGCTGTTGGTAGCTCTGTTTAACCATGCTGCTCCCCACACCAGCTCATCCTGAGAACCCAGTAGAGTTGACAGTGTCAGATCTCCAAACCCTAACGCAATTACTACCAAGCCTTTTGGAGATAGCAAACCTCATAGCCACTGAAATCACAGTAGAACGGGCACACCCATTGGCCTATGCTGTTGGCATATGAACCCTGGTATCTGTAAGCGAAATCGTAGACCTGCACCAAGAACACTCGTATAAATCTGCAGTCAAACATCTCTAAAACCAAGATTGATTGTGTCACCTGTTTTGCTCTCGACAGCAGCGTGTTGGCATAGGCAGGATCGGATGATCTGAAAGCGATGGAGGCAGCCGCCAGTGCAGCGGCGGTCTCGCCGGCGACCTCGGAGCCTGGGTGGGTATCGTTCACTTGGAAGGATGGGCGAGGAGTGTCCATGTCCTCGGGCCTCTGCCAGCAGCTGTGATCACTGTAGGGTTCGCCTGATTGGACGAAGATCCTGTTGGGTTTGGTGGTGGCTTTCAGCAAGTAGTCCGTAAGCCACCGCAAAGCCTCATGAGCGTGGAACAGCTCCGGACCCAACTCGGCCGAGAACTCGACGATGCTCCACGCCAACACGGTGCCGGTGAACGCCAAGGGGAAGCCAAACTTCACATTATCGCCGGCATCATAGTACCCGCCCACCAGATCAACCTGTCATCAAGGCAAATGCATCCCTTACACTGTGAAGGAGAACGAGTCGAAGAGAAAGGACGTAAGCACAAGAGATGTGGTGGTTCATGCAACGCTGCATCCATACACCGGCATCTTGCCCATCTTTTAGGCCGGAGTCCTTCCTCCAGGTGACTCTTTGCGTGGGTGGGAGCTTCCCGGATCTCTGACCTTCATAGAACAGCAAACACTTTCTCAGTGCATCTGCGTAGTTCGGGGGCGGCCTGCTTCCTGCAACCGCAGATGGCATCATCCACGCCGCCATCGATGCCACCAACATCAACAACGCAAGACAAAACCTAACTCTCGTCCCCGCCATCTCACCGACCGATCGAGTTTCTACTGCACTATGCAGGCTTCCGACTTAATTAGGAAGCGAAGAACACAACCAGGGGAGATAGATAATGGCGCATTCTTCGGCATCGGATCATCAAATATACAAACCGACGCATTACTGTAACGGTAAGATTACTACATTTGGAAAGTCTTCACTAGATTCACCAATACTCCACGTGTGCCAAACAAGAGAGGCATACTAGATTTTGGTTCTTGACTTCTCATTGGATACGTGCATATTTGTCGGTCCAATTTGGAATAAAGTGGTTATTACGGTAATTGCACATAATATGGCGGCCATTGAACACACTTCAAAAACTTGCCCACCGTAAACCTGACAAAAATATAATTGCCTCTTGATGAGATGGAATCGGTCTCTTAGAAAATCGATTCATGATCACTGGTATCATCGTGTAGCTATCAAACTCCTTATTGTAACATTTGGCCAATTTACATTCGAAAATTCATCCTTTATTTGTGTGTACTGCCCAACTAATATGCCTACTACTTTGGATCTTATTTTTGTATAATTTGTATAATATGAATTTTGAGCAGACAACCCGTTAGGTCAGCCCATTTCTCTTTTAACCTAAACCTAGAGGTGCGAGGTGGCCGCGAAAAGGGTTGAAAAAACTACAGCAATATGGTTCAAAAAAAGAGGAAAAGATAAAAAAATAAAAGAAGGAAAGGAAAGAAGACAAAACAACACGGAGACCGTTCTTAATCATCCAACTAATGTTCTTAGATCAGATTTATAGTGGACTCTTACTGTGATCACTTGCAGAGATTTTAAATATTGTGCACAGTGACATAATTCTTATATTTCAGTTATTCTCTTGTGACCGTTGCTTGGATTTTAGATAAGAGATTATGAGATTTATATATTTATTATTTTTATAGTGGATTTTCTCTGGCTTACCCCATGATTTTTACCCTTCTTGTTAGAGGAGTTTTCCATGTAAATTTTGGTGTCCTATTTTATTATGATTTTTGTTTAATTCCACGATACCTTACGACCTACTTGTATTTGTTTATATACAAAATTTCTCTTTTTATTTCATCTGAATATGATCGATGTTGGCCACCCAACTCGAATCTAAAATAAAATCCTTAGTAGAATATCTAATTTGACCAGAAACTTTGTTTGGAATGACAAATTTCCTAACAAACATTTTATCATTAATCGGCACACCACCAAGACCCAAAGACCATGGAGAGCTTGATATTAAAGAATTTGTCATAATTAAAAATATGATATATGTGCTCAAAGACTAATTTCGATAATCAATAATGAGTATAAACTTTGGATCAAAATTTTTATTTCTGAATATGACCCTTTTAACCCGTTGGGGGGATTATTCTAACAACTAAAATATCTAAAATTGCTTGTGCAATTTTCAACCTTTCTCATTGCTTCAAAGGGAATTTTAGACGACTGATCAATTGCTTGTTAAGAGGACTCTTGGCTTGACAACGTCTTCTTCTCCAAATGACACTCCATCATCAACGTTGACATCATGCAATAACACTCTCGGGTGGTCGACATCATGTTTAACGGCTCCATTGTTGTTCTCTGGTTGACATAATGCGAGTTAGTCATCTTCCACGACAGTTTGTGTTGAGATTTGATTCATAGTTATCTATCTAGATAGTTATCATGATTTAGTGATTATATGATGATTTCAATAACCACCTCAATCATGATATAGTAGTTATAGGGTGGTTTCAATAACTACCTCAATCTAGTAGTTATAGGTTGGTTGTCATTAGGTCCTATTTAGGACCGTAGTTCGTGTAGCAAGGTACAGAGAGACAGACAGAGAAAGATAGAAAGATAGCTGATAGGCTGTGGGTAGCCACCCATATTTACGCATGATAACATCATACTTGTGTCGATCAACCAAGAATTAGGTTTTTGGGCCGGTTTGATGGTCATAAACAAGTATCTATAGTAAGGGAACAAAGCTACATTGTTATTTCATGCATCTAATCATCGACTGATGCTTACATTATCGTTTAACTTGGTACATAAAGTATATGTACGAAGGAATACTCATCAATTTTTGCTGAAGTAAGCCAAGAGACCCACCAAAGGTGCATTGACATAAGTGGTGGGTTCGGTTTGGTTCGGCCAATATCTCGAGTCCACGAAGTTATCGGTTCCATCGTTCGGCCCGCCGACGACCGCTCCGATAAGCAAGTTGGGGTTGGATGCGTTGCTGTCGAAGTAGGGCGTCCCGTCTCCACACAACAGATGCTGCGGGTGCTGATCCATCGAGGGAAGAGTCGATCCTCTGTGGTGTATCTTTTGAGGAAACTTTGTGCCGTACCCCACCATATACGACATGTTGAATGGGTTTTGTCCGAGGAGATAGTTCACCTGTACCAACAAAATCTATTATTCCTCCACAAACTTAGATCCATAATTAATAACCATAGATCACGATGAAAACCCAAACAATAAAACAAATCCAAGAATAGATATGATGGAATTTGGATCCGAATGACTACCTGACTTCTGGCGACGTCTATGAGAGCTGAGGGCGGATACTGAGAGCCGCCACAGGTGAGAGTTCGCGAGACGTTCGTGAGATACCGAGCATACAGGAGGAGAAGAAAAGAGAAACCCGTCACGTCTTGCATGTTGCACCCTGGCGTCGCGTAGATGAGACCCCCTGCCATGATCATACTGCATGGGTTACTTACTACGCACTAAACTTGTGTGCAATAATGCCATGTACATGTATGTATTCCTTCAAACATCGAGTAGAGGAGTCTCCTGTTACAAATATTAAGATTGATCTTGCTATCTAGAAAGAAAAAGAATTCTCGTTATATATGCTGAAAGGACGATGCATTTCCACTTCAAAGCTCCGGAAGTATATGTTACGAAATGGTCCTTCTCAGTGCTAATGAATTAGTGAGATCATGAACAGTTTGTCCAGAGGAGAATTGCAAACCCGGAGTGTATTTGATGTAGTTGGAGTGAGATTGTGGCATCATTGCACATGCAAACTCCTCGACCGGTCTACCGTACTCACTATCAGTCTGCAACAAAAAGAATCAATCACTGTAATGTATCAACAATAAATCTACTCTTAGATGCACTTCTTCTTCCTCCTTTCTTTTTATTTATGAGAGTTATATCTAATTGTTCATGAAAAAAATCACATAACATTTTCATCTTATCTGAATAATCTTCTTTCGCGCATGTTATTTTAGGACACAGAACATAGATTACAAGTCTCCGAATCTATGCGTTCATGTTAGTCAAAATTGGAAATAGAGATATATAGATCATCCATTTATATGCTAAGTTTGACTGCCTAATATAACCCAATATTCATTCACCGAGAACATTCTCATAGACTTATATCTCTAACGTACATGGTTAAAAATGCCACATATCATTTGTGATTATGAAAGATACATTAGTTACTATTTAAGCTACCACTTGTCCTTAATCGCCGAGTTTATTTCCATTTTAAATGTTATTTTCTACATAATCCTATTGCTTCTCAACTTGCATGAGCATGCATTGTATTCTCATTGTTCAAGGATCGTGATAGTGAAAACCTTATGCTGAAGGAAGAGAAGCAGGTAGTTTCCGGCATTCTTAGCATCCCATCCGAATTCCAAGTCGGAGACATTTTCCTCGAGCTCCATCTGCTTAATGCCATGGATGATATGGCTCTGATACAGTGTGCTAATGGTAGCTCTGTTCAGCCATGCTGCTCCCCACACCAGCTCATCCTGAGAACCCAGTAGAGTTGACACTGTCAGATCTCCAAACCCTAATGCATTTACCACCAAGTCTTTTGGAATAGCTAACCTGATAGCCATTGTAATCGCAGTAGAAGGGGCACACCGCATTGCCAAGGCTATTGTACGAACCCTGGTATGTGTTACCGAAATCGTAGACCTGCACCAAGAACGATCACGTAAATCTGCAGTTAAGCATCCATCCACCTGGTTCAGTATCATCTCTGTGATGGAGGAACCAAGATTGATGTGTTACCGCCTGTGCTCTTGACAGAAGGGTGGCGGCATAGGCAGGATCGGATGATCTGAAAACGATGGAGGCGGCCGCCAGTGCAGCGGCGGTCTCGCCGGCGACCTCGGAGCCCGGGTGGGTTCGGTTAACTTGGTAGACCGGCCGAGGGGTGTCCATGTCATCGGGCCTCTCCCAGCAGTTGTGGTCGCTGTCAGGGTCGCCTACTTGGACGAAGATCCTGTTGGGTTGGGCGGTGGCTTTCAGCAAGTAGTCCGTAAGCCATCGCAAGGCCTCATGAGCGTGTACCAACTCCCGTCCCAACTCCGCCGAGAACTCGATGATGCTCCAAGCCAACATGGTGCCTGTAAACGCCATGGGTAAGCCAAACTTCACGTTGTCGCCGGCGTCGTAGTACCCGCCCACCAGATCAACCTGTCATCAAGGGAAATGCATTCATGGAGTTCAGATCGTAACGAAGACTCGCTTCAATGCTGCGAACAACGATCTTCTTCCACAAAGAACGTAGAAGACAAACACCATAGGAGACAATGAATCCATACACCAGCCTCTTGACCATCGGTTAAAGCTGAGTCCTTTCTCCAGGCGAGCCTTTGCGTGGGTGGAAGCTTTCCGGATCGCTGCCCTTCGTAGAACAGCAAGCACTTGGTGAGTGCGTCTGCGTAGTTGGGGCGTGGCCATCCGCCTGCGGTGGCAGATGGCATCCTCACCGCCACCAACATCAAGAACACACAACAAAACCCTACTCTCATCGTTGCCATCTCACGAGCGACTGTATTCCTCCTCGACTGTGTAGGCTTCCCACTTAATTAGCATATTTATTGAGAGGAATCAGATAAATGACACATTATTGGGCATCAGGTGATCACATATAGAAACAGACACATTATTACAACGGTATCATTGCGACATTTGGAATGTGTTTCGTAGATTCTCCAACATTCACGTTTTACCATACATGACAAAAATGCAAGATTCTGGTTTTTCCAACCAAATCTCTTCGATGAGATTTTTCCGTTTATACTGGATACGTTCTTGGTCCAATTTGGAAGTGTTGACTGCGGTGAACTATCAGAGGCAAGGAGGATCTAAATATGGCGGCCAGCGAACTCAATTAGAGAACTTGCCCATCATAAACCTCACTAACTATAATTCCCTTTATGAGACAGGATCGGTCTCGTAGAAAAATGAGTCATGATCACCGGTACCATTGCAGATATCAAACACATTACTGTAACATTTCTACAACTTACATTGGGACTGCACGACTTATCTGCTACTTTAGATCTCCATGCAGAAGAGTTGTTCCAAGAATCTAATCGCTGCAATTTTTAATCAGACAAATGCATGCCTCATAAAGCATTTTATTATATGATGTCATTTTATTTGTCTATGCAATCATTTACAGTTACTAACTATACTTTTTTTTTTCATTTTTGAGAATTCCAGCAAGAATATGATCTGATATTTTGTGTAATTTCTAAAATGTGAATATAATCATATTTGAATGTCTAAAAATTAATGTGTCTTCAAAGTACAGGTAAGGTTTGATGATAAATTTGCCCAAGGGAAACAATTGTCAAAAAGAAAAATACGAAGCTTTTTAGTGTGTTTGCCAAAATGTTTGGCATCTCAATACATTTATTCTTTTTTTATTCCTCTTTTTTCTTTTTTCTTTTTTATTCCATTTTTTATTTTCTTTTTTCCTTCTTATATTTTTTTTACTTTTATATTCCTAGTAATGCTCGATTAACATGCAATAGGCATATTATCAAGAAATTTCAAAGCAAATACAAAATATTATGTTATAGGGAATAAAAGTGAAGGAATTGCTTTCTTCGAACTATATATAT